AGGACTCCACCCCACCCTGGGGTCTCGGTTCTCCTGATGGTGGCTGTGCTGCTCCCTGGACTGCTGCCAGTGATCGTCCTGGGGATATCCACTGTGGTCCCCCTGCTTGCACCCTACTCACTCATGTGGCTGAGGGACATCTTCTAAGAACTCGCCAAGAAAATGCTCGTGAGCCAAACGTTTCTGAGTCCTGCATGTCTGAAAATGGCTATACCATTCTCAAATCTGTTGAATCTCTGGGAATAGAATTGTAAGTTAAAAATTGTATTCCCTCTGAATTTTTGAAGCATCACTCCACTCTCTTTCAGTTTTACCAATGAGAAATCCCAAAAGCCACTGTCATTGCCGATCCTTTGTGTACATCCTACTTTTCCCCTGAATGCTCTGGGATTCTTTTCTGTACCCCGGTATTATGCAATATTATGGGCATGTGTTTTGGTGTGTATCCTCGAATAGTTACACTCTCCAGGTCTGAGATATTGTCCTGAATTACTATATTCATTTAAAATGTTTCACTTTCTGTTCTCCTTTCTCTTTCTGGACTCCAGTTATCAGTCACGTGTTGAGTCTTCTTGATCGAGTCTTTTTGTCCTATTTTACTCCACTCTCCATCTCTCTTTCCTACTGGCATCCTTTTCTTGACTTATGAAACATCTTCATCTGATTTCCAAGAATATTAATATTCACTTTTTAGAAACATTGTTTTCTATATCTAGCTTTCCTTCAAGTTTGCTTCCTCTTTCCTTCCTTCCTTACTTTTCTTGTCTCTCTCTTTCTCACTCCCTCCCGTCTTTCTTTTTCTTTGTCTTTTGGTATTTTCTCTCATACTGACATTTCCTTCTTAAAAGTCCTTGGCTAATAGTTCACATACAAGAGTTAGGCACTGAAAGAGTTACTTGGAACCGTCTGCCAGCTTGTTAACCTGCAGTTCACTTGTTGGGTGATCTGACACAGGTGACCTTCTCACTATGGGATTTCACTGGTGTATTGATTTTCACCATGTTCTCAACTATTTTCCACCCTGGACTTTCCAGTATACCAGAGGCCCTCGGGTCTGGTCCAGCTTGCCTGCAGCAGTACTGCCCCAAAGAACTTTCTATGATGACGGAAACGTTCTACCTCTGAGCTATAAATACTGTAGTTACTAGCCACACTCCTACTGAGCCCCTGAGATGTGGCTTGTGCAACTGAGAAACTGTATTACTTATTTTATTTAATTTTTGCTAATTTAAATAGCCCCAAAAGCCATATAGGGCAGTGTAGCACAAGAGAATAAGCCTCTAGCATCCCATTTTGGCAGATAGGTACAAGGAGGTTACCTGGACACACAGAATAGGGAAGGAGATAAAAATACAGAGTTTCATAGCAAGGTTTCAGAACTTTAGATTTTAATTCATAAATTCTAAGCTCTGGAATCTAACTTTTTTAATATTAACATATATGAAGTCAAACAGAAAAGAAGATGAAGAAACAGTGGACAAACAATGAGTGCAGGAAAAGAATGTTGCTTTACTCTACATCACAAACTTTGCCATATTTTTCACTGCTGATTTTTGTTGTTGTTGTTTGTTTTGAGACGGACTCTCACTCTGTCGCCAGGCTGGAGTGCAGTGGCAAGATCTTGGCTCACTGCAACCTCCACCACCCGGGTTCAAGCGATTCTCATGCCTCAGTCTCCCAGGTAGCTGGAATTACAGGCACGCACCACGATGCCCAGCTAATTGTTTGTATTTTTAATAGAGACAGGGTTTTGCCATGTTACCCAGGCTGGTCTCAAACTCCTGAGCTCAGGCAATCCGCTCGCCTCGGCCTCCCTAAGTGCTAAGATTATAGGCATGAGCCACCGCGTCCAGCATTCACTGCTGATTTTAAATCCCTTTTATTAATGCTGTAATTCTAACTAAATGATGGAACACTAATTTCAATGAAACAGATTATCGAAGTCTCTGCTTTTGCTCATTCCAACAAAGTGACATTCTAGTTACTTACTCTGTCTCCAGGTTTAAGCAGAGGTTCATTCTTACTTGTCAGTTTATTAAGTAGAGTATAAGCTAGTTTTAAACTCCGACTCCAAAGTTTACCTAAAACAAAATAAAAACACTAAGCAATGTAAAAGTTAAGAAACAAATAATTAACATTTTAATGTAGAAACCAAAATACCCCATAACATACCATTATCCCATTAGTGGAAATTTAGGTAGTTTCCATCTAATAACTATTCTGCACAATGTTGTAAGGAACATCATTGTTGGCTCTTAAAAATAACTTACAGATTTATTTTTCTTAATACAAAAACAAAACAGGATTTTATTATAGAAAATTTGGACTACAGAAGAGCCAGCAGAGGCCAGGTGCAATGACTCACACCTGTAATCCCAGTACTTTGGGAGGACGAGGCAGGCAGATCACTTGAGGCCAGATGTTTGAGACCAGCCTGGCCAACATGGTAAAACCCCCTCTCTGCTAAAAATACAAAAAATTAGCTCAGCGTGGTGGCATGCGCCTGTAATCCCAGCTACTCGGGAGGCTGAGGCACAAGAACTGCTTGAACTTGGGAGGCGGAGGCTGTAGTGAGAGCCAGCCTGGGCAACAGAGACACTATTTAAAAAAAGAAAAAAAAAAAGCCAGCAGAAAAAAGTCAGTATTTGGTATACATATGTATATGTACATATGTGTGCACACATATACAACTATACACATATAAGCACATATACAGGTCTGCATAATTTTCAAGAAATGAGATACTTCACCGTACTTTTCCAATTAATACTGCAGTGTAAATGGATTTTCATGACATTAAATATCCGTCAATTACATCATTTGTAAGAGTAGCACATAATTCATTTAATCTTCACAACAATTCATGAAATGGGTCATATCTTTATTTTAACATGTTAAATTCCCAATTTAATACGTTAAATTTAAGAT